TCAGGTCCCTTTAAGCACAGCCCTCGGCTATCCTGAGACAGCAGCTCCACGCTCTAAGTCCTCATCTGATGCCCTGCCGGCACTGCTTCCGGCCATCCTTAACCTCTGTTCAGGGTCCACTCTGTGTGGACATGCTAGTTCAAATTAGCAAAACGCTAATTCGAACTAGTTTTTAAGTCTAGCTGCGCTAATTCAAATTAGCTTAGTTTGAATTAGTGCTGTAGTGTAGTCATGTCCTTACTGGTTTAATCTCACTCCACTGAGCTGAGACCCAAGAGTTGGAATATAAATATTTGCAATTAGTATAATTAAAGTACATCTATATTTTGATAAGTTCCATACCTGATATATGGCTTGTCTGATTCCACTTAAAATTTCCTGCTTAAATGTCCACTGGCTGAAGATCTACATGTAAAATTGGAGGCATAATTTTTTTTTTTTTAGAGAGATTTAGAACAGGATAGAGTGCTGGCAAACCAAGCTCTAAATGGAAAGCTCATTGTAGCCTTGACTTTACTAAAGAGAAACTACTGTCTTTCCTTAATATAAAGCTAAAAGGGGGACAATTAAGAATGACAAAAAGATATGTAAAAATGATACCTTTGTGATTAAGCTTGTACTACCAAAAGAACATGTCCTTATAAAAGGAATTAAACTTTATAGATTTTTTCTAAAGCCAGTAGTAACACACTTCTTTTAAATATTGTTTTCCACCAAACTTTTAATGAGTTTGTAAACCCTTTTCCATTCTTAGTTACATGCACAGGCTTTTTGCATTTCAGCCAGTCTTAGGGTGGAATTAATTACTTATTAATCATTACTTCACCAACAGTATATTATTAGTTTAGGATATATTGAAGTTATGCTAACTTTATTACTTCATGTCAGTTTTGTAAAATCCCAGTTAAAAAGTTAATAGTTAAACAAAATATTTAACTGGTTAACCATGATCCTCACCATGCTGTGGGCTATTCCAGCCAGGCAGCCTCCTCCCCCCAGTTACCCCAGTAAGCAAACTAGTAAGTTGCATGCTTAACGGGTAACCAGTTAACCCTTTACATCTCTAAGTCTGATACTAATTCTGATATTGAACAAATAGGTTAATTTTCTTTTCCATGAAAGCATTAGCCTTTGGGAGTACAACTACATTGCAAATATTTGAGGGAAATAAAATTCCTGATAAGGATTTGCAGGAGTGAAGATTTCTTCATTCATATTGCAATCTTTTTTCCTTTGTGCCATGTACTCAAAACTACAACACAATTTCTAGTGTTTTGACACATTTTGAGCTGTATTAACTTCTTAATGCGCCCATGACAATCCCGTTTGTGTTAATGAAAGTTTATGCACCTAGAAATTGGCCCTTCAATCTTCTATGGTGCAAAGGAGAGGAGCAAAAATAGTAGCTGGTACCTAAGCTATTGAGATGCTGGTGAAATGCTCAGGCTGTCCCTACACTGGCGTGATCGTGCGCAAAAAGCAGCTGCTCTTGCGTAAAAACTTGCTGCCTGTCTATACTGGCCATGTGTTCTTGCACAAGTAAACTGACGTTCTAATGTACGAAATCAAGGCTTCTTGCGCCAGAACTCTAACACTACCGCTCAGGAATAAGCCCTTTTGCGCAACTGTTCTTGTGCAAGAGGCCAATATAGACAGGCAACATGAATTGCTTGCACGAGAAAGCCCTATGGTTAAAATGGCCATTAGAGCTTTCTTGCACAAGGGAGTGTCTACACTGGCCTGGATGCTCTTGCACAAAAGAACATCTCTTGCCCAAAAAAGCACATGCCAGTGTAGATGCTCTCTTCTGGAAGAGTTTTTGCAGAAGAACTCGTCTGCAAAAGAGTTTTTGTGTGAGAACACCCCAGTGTAGATGTAGCCTCACTGACGAAGACGAATGTAGGAACAAATCCAATTTGTAGTGGAAGTACAAACTTCTTCTTGGCTCCTACTTGTCACTGACTCCACAAGTACAAGTTCACAAATGGAGGGTATTTGGAGGCTATGCTGTTCACGAAAGCACCTTCTGGCATATTAGCTGCCCTCTCCTAGCAGGGAGCGGAGGGAAGTTAACGCCTTGGCCCCACAGCTGGGTGCCTGAGGCTGGTGGAAGAGGTAGGGAGAAGTCAGACAGGCATTTTACTGACGGCACACCGGGGGGCGGGGAACAGATAGCCCGGTAAGGAAGGCTGCAGTGGCCCTGCCGGTGGCACGTGCACGTAAAGCGGGGCTCTGGGAGGTGGCGAGCGCAGGCAGGCACGAAGTCCAGGCGTCCCGCCACGCGCTGCAGGAACACAGACCCCAGACCTCCAGCAGCGCGCGAGCACGTGGCCGTGTCGGGAGGGGCGGGGTAGTTCCCGGGGCGTTGTCCTTTGCTCCGCCCTGCTTAGAACGTGTCTCTGTCTCGTGACCGCGGGGCGGGGTTCTGGGCCGCTGGCGTCGTTCAAACGCGGCGGGCTGCAGGGAGCACGAGGGGTCCGTCGGGATGGGGCCCGCCCCGCGTACTGTGGGACGCGGCGGGGGCTGAGCGCCCCGGAGTGCAGGGCCCTCCGCACGTGCGCACCCCGTGGGGCGGGGAGAGCGCCCCCTCCCCCCGTGTCACCCCTGGGCAGGGGGAGGAGGTAGCCCTGAAACCTGGTCCGCGTTCCTGGAAAGGGGCTTAGTTACGCCCGCCCGTACTGTGCGCTGGGGCCGGGGAGGCTCCGCTAGTGGGGGCAGAGCCCCCTTGATATTGCAGCCCCCGTTAGGGGGCGGAGTCCCTCTGGCTGGCATCCCTGCAGACGCGCAGGCCTGCTCTGCACGACGTAGCCCTGGCTCCTCTCCCCACCTGGTTACATGCGGGTCAGTCTGATGGAAGGTTTGGCCGCGAGCCTTTCCTGCAACTGATTGTGATGTACCCGGGGTGGCATGTTTGCAAACGTTTTGATGGTGCCCAGAACCTGCCCCATCCCCACTCACTCACTCTCCCCAAGGCCTTGGGGGGAAGTTTGGGTGTGGGAGGGGTGCAGGCTCTCTCTGGGATTTTGAGTGTTGGTGCAGGCTCTACTGCTGCAGGAAAGTGGGGTAAAAGGAGGGGGCAGGCTGTGGGGGGTATTTGGGCTTAGGATGAGGTGTGGCATGCAGGCTCTGGAGTGGAGTCTGGGTGCTAACTCTAGGAGGAAGTTTGAAGACTGGACATAGAAGGGATTTTTGGGGTAGGAATGGGGATGGAAGGTAGGGATGTCAATGTATGATTAAATGATAAGATAAGGCTTATTGGTTAACCCTGTCAACTATATGCATCTCTCCCCTTGCTGCTTCCGTATAAGAGGCAGCTAGAGTGGAGGAGTCAGGGCTGGTGCCTGTGAGGAGCTCTCTGGCTTTAAGCAGGCTCCCCAAGAGAACCTAATCTGCCTGCCCTCTGCTGCTGCCTCTGATAGAGAGACAGCGTTGGGCTGGGGGGTAGGCTGGAGCTGATAAGCATGGGAAGCTGACTTTCAAGGCAGCAACACCAGCACAGGCTCTGCAGTGCCACCTGCAGCCCTCTCCCCCCATGCTGCTGCGGGGCAGAGGATGCTACGGTAAAGCAGCCTTTGTCCGTGGAGCGCTGGGGGTGCACTGGCTGCTGGTCTCACTCCCGGGGACTCGAATAGTTGTGTAACTACTAAGATTTCATGTGGTTACAGGATAGCTAACATCCCTAGTGGAAGGAGAGGGTACAGGCTCCTGAGGGAGTGTGGTTCACAAGGAGGGCAGTGAGGGGAGTGGATGGTGAGAGCTACATTTACCTGGGAGCAATGGATGTTTGGATGTAACAGTAACCCAAAGCAAGCTGGAGTTTTTACTTGCTTTGTCCTAGGGGTGGAGTGGTCTCCAGGTGCTGCTGCCCCACATGCTCCCTCTGGATGTCCCCCAATCCCTCCTTGCATCTCTGGGCAAGTTAAAATGCTCGGGAGGCCCACTGGTAGTGCAGTGGGCTTAGAGGACCTTCTGGTGGCTCGCTTACCATGGCTGCCAGGAGGGGTGCCCCTGCAGCTAGGAGTGGAGGAGATGGGGTCTCTGTACCATGCACTGGCTAGCACACAGCATGGAGACCCTGCTCTCCCCAGGGGTACACATATAGGCCATTGGGGTGAGCAAGCTGCCAGAAGCCACTCTAACTCTGCTTCATTACCAGTTGTGGCAGTGGGACTCCCCCAGGGGTGTTAAAATCACACAGGGACAGCAGGCAGGGGAAACATCGGGGGAGTGTGCAGAGAGGCTGGGAGATGCAGGGTCAGGCAGCGAGTTTTGATGGAGCACAGGCCCAGTATGTTCCTGAAGTCAGAGCAACATGAGCCCATATAACTCCCTGCCTGTGGATGTAACAGTAATCCAAGACAAGAGCTGGAGGTTTTTACTGGCTTTGTACTCATCTTGCAATGAGCTATTAACTGAAAGGCCATAGCATCCTTTATTCTCGAAGTCCTTGTCTACAATTGATGGGTTTTTTACATGACATTGGTAGAAGCTCTTCCTATAGTAGCAGCAGGGGGAGCTGATTGACCTATTTACAGTTTTTAAAATACCTCCCCCCCCTTCCTATAGCAGCTGCTGCTGCTACTGAAACTGACACATGGCAAATGTTTTAAAATGGGTAGATAGAGACTAGGAGTGGGAAATATAAGGCCCACGGGCTAGATATGGCCCTGGCTTGCCTGGATCTGGCCCCTGAGGCTCAGGGTTCCCCCCAGCATCGGGAAGCCTGCACTAATGCTCTAGATTTCTGCCGCCCCACCAGAGGGCTGGAGCATATGAAATCTACTAGCCGGGGCCCAGCTAGGCTCTGGAGTGTGGAGGGAATGTGAGGAGTGTCTTTCTCCTCAGTCAGAGGCCACATCAGTGAGGGTTTATTTCGACTTTTTTTTTTTTTTTTTTGCTTCTCACGCGTGGGGTCCTCAACTGATTTTTCTGTAGGTCAGTGGCCCCCAACCCAATAAAGGTTCCTTACTCCTGATACAGACTGATTCACTCCTCATCTGCAGTTTTTTTCCAGAATATTTTAAAAGACTGACAAGATAGCATGGTTGAAAGATATCAGATGTAATGTTTTGTGCCCTGTTGATTTGATTCAAAAGAGGACTTATGACTCCTGTCTCTTAAGTTACAGTACAAGCAATATGTAGTTTAAGGGGCTCTTCAAAACTCTCTCCCAGATTTCTGCTGCTTTTTCCTGTAATTCAACATTTTTATCCTACAGGCACCATCTTGCAGTCTTTACTCTGCCAACTCAGCCCTTGGAGTAAGGGCTGCAAGATGAGGTACTAAATGATGTAAGTGTTTTAGAATATATTTCTAGTAAAAGGCATATTTGTTTACATAAATGTAAAACACGAATAACTTTTTTCTAAATAACTTTTATACATTTCTAGAATATACGTGTTGGATGAACCAAATGGCTCCAAAAGGCAAAATAAACAAAAAGAAATACAAGTGCTGCCCTTGTTTATCATCACCATCTTTGCAGGAAGATGCCCCTGGAGAGCAGGTGTGGTGGTGGTAGTGTTTTTATTGGAGGACTGGGGAAAGGGTGTTGACTTTGTAATGTGCAGGAAGTTTTATTGTTGATGACTATTTTAATGTTTTATTCTGTGCTAATAGCTCTCCTTAGAATCACCGTGTAGTGTGGTTTGCACCTAAATTATGCTCATACACACTTACACATCACCTCTGATTTTGGTCCCAGCTTTTAATCTGGCCCTTTCAGTACAGACATAAGCTTGAGTCTTTTACCTGGACGGAGAAGACTATCCACACTGGATTCAGACTTTTCTTATTTCCAGTAAGAGCTTCTTCTAAATTGTGATTTCAAAGGAACAGCTCCATTCAGAATTTACCTTCAAGAACTAGAGGGAAGTTCATTGGTATTGACTAACTGCAGGGATATTTCTGTTTGCAGCAGAGGCATGCCTGTGGTTGCATGATGAAGGTTTCCCTGGTACCCCAGCTGTCACAGGGTTTCTCTACACTAGTGTAAGCTCAGAGAATGTAGAACTTGACTTATCAGATCCTGGCCTCATTAATCTACGGCTTGAATATCTATGCTCATTTGTAATACCAGGTTAGGAATTATTGGTGCCTTGGGCTCAAGTGTTTATACTGCATTGTGCAAGCTTGAGTTCAACCACCCATATCCCAGTCTTCCTAGAACAGGTGGGCAAAAGGGCCTCCACAGGCCAGATCTAGCCTGCCAAGCAAGTTGATCCAGCCCACGGAGGCCCTGCTTCTCCCCCAGGCCAATCAGGGCCTGAGGGCAGGGGAGAGTGCATGAAGTCTCTTCCTGCCCTGCAGGGAGAGTTCAGTGCCGCGTGCTCCTGGCAGGGCAGGGGGAGACTTCGCACGCTCCCCCTGACCCTAAGCCCTAATTGGCCTGGGGTGCGGGGGGAAGCGTGCAAAGTCTTCTCCTGTCCTGCGAGGGGCACAGCTCTTCTAAGCACCGCACACTCCTTGCAGATGGGGGCAGGAGGGGACTCCGCACACTTTCCCCTGCCCCCAGGCCAATCAGGGCTGTACACAGGCGGAGCATGTGAAGTCTCCTCCTGCCCTACAAGGGGCTCAGCACTTAAAGTCAACTGCCAGATGCTTCTCAGCTGGTGGTTGACTCTAAGTGCAGTGCTTCCTTGCAGGGTGGGGGCAGGGAGCAATAGACTTCACGTGCTCCCCCTCTCCAGGCCCTGACTGACCTGGGCGCAGCAGGGGGGAGCATGTGAAGCCTCCTCCCACCGCCAAGGGCACATGTACCTAGAGGGAACCACCAGCTATCCAGAACAGCTGGTGGTTTTCTCTGGGAGGCAAAGACTTTGAATGCTCCCCCACACCCAGATCAATCAGGGTCTGGGTGGGGAAGCACAGAAGTGTCCTGGCCCCGCCCCTTCCACCTGAGGCCCCATCCCTTGAAGTGGCCCCTGGTCAAAAATTATTGCCCACCCCATCCTAGAGCCTCCCAAAATATCTGCACTAGTCCTCTGTTCATGGTACAGTGTGGGAAAACTTGACTGTCAAACTTGGCTGTCCAGAGGACAAAAACAGTTGGCTGTAGGATTGTGGAATACTTTTGGCAGACTCCCTACAAATCCTATATGGCTGTGTCCACACGGGATGTAACATTTAGATTAATTGACTAATCAAATAGTCGATGCAATTTGCATCGACTCTTCAATTAGTCAATAAAAGCGCTTCCCCCTTTGAAGTGTAGCAACAGCCGCAGGGCTGTTATTACACTTAAAAGGTGAAAGCGTTGCAGGGAGCCGAGGCATTTCAAATTGGCAGTACTGCATGGAGCCTAGGGTTAGCGGAGGAGTCCCCAGCTGACCCTGGGCTGCACAGTATTTCGAAGCAGCAGCACCCGGGCTTCATGTGGCACTGCCGCTTTGAAGCACCTTCTCCTTCCCTCCCACCCCTTGCTGCCTCTTTCTGATAGAGGCAGCAAGGGGGGGGGGCAACTGGGCGACTAACGTGTCGTCTAACTGATAAGCATTTGCTTATCGTATAGTCGACTAATCCTTCAAGTCCCTAATCCACACTGCAAAGTAACAGAGCTTGAACTTGAGATCCAGTAGATATAGTATACTTGGATTTTCAGAAAGCCTTTGACAAGGTCCCTCACCAAAGGCTCTTGTGTAAATTACATGGCCATGGGATAAGAGGGAAGGTCCTTTCTTGGATTGAGAACTGGTTAAAAGATAGGAAACAGAGTAGGAATAAATGGTAAATTTTCAGAATGGAGAGGGGTAACTAGTGGTGTACCCCAAGGGTCAGGCCTGGGACCAATCCTTTTCAACTTATTTATAAATGATCTGGAGAAAGGGGTAAGCAGTGAGGTAGTAAAGTTTGCAGAGGATACCAAACTGTTTAGGATAGTCAAGACAGAAGCAGACTGTGAGGGACTCCAAGAAGATCTCACCAAACTGAGTGATTGGGCAACAAAA